AATTCTTAAATTAAACTAATACTAAATACTTACGAGATTGATTTTTGAGACATCTCGGTAAAATAACTCCTTGCGATTTGATTTTTGACCAATAATTTTAACACATAGTTTTTCTTCGTTTCGTCAACACAGTTCGCGCCAAATTCTTTAATCACGTATCACGTGGGTAAGAACGGAAGTGATTTATCTTTGCGTAACCGGAAGAGAAAAGATCTCGTCATGATACGTGAGTGACTGGTCATGTCAACTCTAAGAAAATTCTAACTTGCAAACGAAATRTTTGTATTCAAAGTTAGCAGTCATTGATTTGGTTGTCTTCATTATTTCATTTTCAAATAAACATTTTTTTTGTCGAGACTTTAGTACGAAAAGGAAAAAATCTGAACGAATRATAATTTAAAAAATCAGGAAATTAAAAAATAAACTTGGTCTAGTTGAGAGACATCATATCAAGTAAAGTAGGTGCAGTTTAGAAGCAATACAAGATCTAAATATTTATATAAAACCTTTTGATTCCGGTTGTAAAGAAAAAGAACAAGGAAGTTTATACATATTATATACATACKAACTATGCTTTATATACCACTATTTTTAATAGGCAACATGGTATTATGACGCAAATTGATTTTCAGCCAATAAATTTTGTCCTACCTGCCAAACGTKCCCCCGATTCAGGCAAATTTTGGAGAACTGGGTCGAAGTTTCGTCACACAATCTTTCTATTTTTGGGACTTCGCGGGGGGTAGTATATAAAAGAGGGTGTGTCGAAGAATGCTATAAAACCGACCACACCACTTCAGCGGAAAGACTCTGAAGCTTCCGTCTACACAACAGCGAGTTTTGGCTATATTTCATCGTTTTTTGGGTCATACTTCATTGGAAAGGACTAGAAGAAGTCCACTTGTTCTCTGTTCGTGTTTTTGTATTCGTTTTCAACGGCATTATGCAGGCCATCAAGTGTGTTGTAGTCGGAGATGGGTGAGTCTTGAAAGCCGGCAGATTTCAGTCTTGAAATTTGCTGTGACCTTTCGTGGGCCTTCAAGGGCTTACAGAAGTCTGATTCATGAGCTTTATACAGAAAGACACAGTTTGMTTTCTTTCTTTATATCTTGCGAGTAATGATACGTTATGGAAATCAGTTTTGGGTTGTTTTGGAGGCAATCTCGACGTCAAATGAGACATCATTGCACAACTCGTGTGGTTGATTGAACTTGTCTTCTAAAACACGCCTCAACACGCATTGTTTAATACGATTTATCTCTTCGAGGAAGCCGTACAAAGTCAASTTAACTTGATTATGTTAAATTTTCATTCGTCAGGGCTGTGGGTAAAACATGTCTACTGATCAGCTATACTACAAATGCCTTCCCTGGCGAATATATCCCAACTGTGTAAGTATAAACATCTTGTTGTTGGACCTCTTGAGCTTTCTACCCCGTTTATTTCCTGTTGAATTGCTCAGTTTATTTCCCTCCTCCTCGTAAATCATTTAGGGTTGGTTAGAGTGTATTTGTTATATATTATGGTTTGATAAATCGTGTTTGAATCCTCCCAGATTTGACAACTATTCCGCAAATGTAATGGTAGATGGAAAGCCCATTAATCTTGGACTATGGGATACAGCGGGTAAGACTTCATCYTCTAACTTTAAACTACGTTGTAAAACTTCTAATTCCTTTGCTGATATCGGCAATTTGATTCAAGGTTGCCAGGATGTCTTAGAAACCTCAATTATGATCGTTAATTGCATCKATAGTGAAATATGATGTCTTCCAAAACTACAACATGATGTAATGGAATGTGTAATTTTGTTGTTTTTTGTTGATATTTTTGCTGAATGTTATCACAATCCTTAAAATGTGTGTTTTGAAGTCTCACTGTTTTTAAAGYAGAGATATTACAGAGATTTAAATCTTCATCTTAAAAATGGTTTTTCTTTTGTTTTCTTTCAATCTTTGTTTTGATTTGATTTATACAAATTATAAAACCCAGTCTAGTTGTTTTGAAGTATATATGAACTGTTATAGCGGTTCCTTTGGATTATTTTACACTAAAAAGGTTATAATTCAAATAAATTGTAGTTTCTTCAAGTGTTTTGCTATTTTGTAGCTCATTAATTGAAACAATCTTAAATCCCAAATTCTATCATTATTAATGAATAATTCCCACATCTATGACAATTAATTGTCTTTTTTATGTTTCAATTTTTCGTTATTCTCTTAGTTGTGTAAACACTGTGAACAATGCAATAGTTTTGGGCAAAGTATAYTATCTTCCTACTGAATCTTCATTCAAATCAAAGCCATGTTTTTTTGAAGAATTCAAAGATTGATTAAATTTTTCCTCAGGTCAAGAAGATTACGATAGACTAAGGCCTTTATCATATCCTCAGACTGTAAGTAAAATATACATGATTATACTACAACCAAGTTGACAATAATATCTAATATCTATAACTTTGTAAGGTGTACCGTGCACTGTCAAGAGCCACCTGAGTCATGTATTTGTTTCTTGTAGGATGTATTTCTCATCTGCTTCTCTCTCATAAGCCCTGCTTCATTCGAAAACGTTAGAGCAAAGGTGAGTCTTGTGTCAACCCGGAATAATACTTGCATGCATTTTATTGCTAACGCCATCTGTATGGCAACATAGCTGCATTTTGAACATCATTTTAGAGACTTGGAACCTGTAACTTTTGTACTGTATTTTTARTTTTGTGTGTTTAAAACACGCAAATCAAATAATTTTTGTGTCCATATTGTACCCATTTTGACAATTGCAACTCGCATCAGCAACTGCAAGAGCCGCAATAGTTTGAAGCCCACACAATGACATTAATTAATGCCAGTCRTGGTCACATATTTTTTTATTCAAAATAAAGACTTAAAAGCTATTTGATTGCATTTGAATAAATTATATTGAAAGCATATTTATAAGCAGCCAAACATCATTATATCATTTCTTTGTACATGTAGGTAAAGGAGTCTCCTTCTCAACATGTTTCTTTTTACATTTCCAATGTTGTTTTTTTACATTGCCAATAATATTTCTAGGAATAAAATGCATCCTTGTGGTACAGTAGTTGATATGTTCAATATTTATTTACAAACATGAAATCAAAAGATTCATAATAGGAAAAATGATTTTAGATAAGCCAGGATGTAAAGCTGCATAATTAGATTATACCACTTTTGAGAATAGTAGAATAGTATGAAAATTAGAAATGGAATATCTATAGCTCTATGTTAAGTTGTAAGCTCATAATAACTAAAAAGCAAAGTTGATTTAACATTTTAAAGAGGTGTAAATATTGCATGTTTTTAAAGCATTTTATTGCAGTTTTTGTGCAATTAAAGCAAGTGCTTTCAGTTAAGGAAAGCCTTATTTTCTCCGGATTATTATTCCTAACTTTGTAAAATAAATGAATGACAAAATTGATAATAATTATAAAATGTTATGGATAAAGTATGCTTTATAATGCTGTGCCATTTGTTTAATTTGCACAAAAAAAGGAAGAACTTGTTAAAAAAAAAAACTGCCATAAGCTTTTCAGTTTTAAAAGTRTCGTGTTCCTTTTCTTCTAATAGTGGTATCCAGAAGTCAGTCACCACTGCCCAAACACRCCAATTGTTTTAGTTGGAACTAAACTCGACCTTCGAGATGACAAGGAAACTATAGATAAACTAAAAGAGAAGAAATTAAGTCCAATAACCCATCCTCAAGGCTTGCAGCTAGTCAAGGAGATTGGTGCTGTCAAGTACCTTGAGTGCTCAGCTTTGACTCAGAAAGGACTGAAAACGGTTTTTGATGAAGCAATTAGAGCAGTGCTTGTCCCAGCTAAAGTCGTCAAAAGAAACAAAACTTGTCAGCTCATTTGATCTGCAAAGTTACTCATGACTGAACAAATAAATTAAATTGATGCATTTTGAATAATAATCATTTTTTATAAAACTTTTGCACACAATGTTATCTTAAATTCATAAAGTACTGCTTTCATACATTTTACATGTACATGCTATGGTAGCATAGCAATACATATCTCCTAATGTTTTTTTTTTCAGTAAATTTGTGCAATGCACCTTCTTAAATCATGAATTTCTGCATGCAAAATATACAAAAGATATTTTTTCTTACATAGAAGAAAACATGAAAATATCTAAAATCAAGCACAAACTTTTAATTCAATGAGCAAGGCATTTCATGGTCTTTGTTGTCAAATAAAATATTGAATATATTGTCATGTCATATCAAATAATGATTAAAATATGATATAAGTTTGTGTGGTAAAATGTTTTAAACATTTGATAAATAAACTGTGTTTGAATATTCTGTCTTTGTGGTCATTAGTAATAGTGTTCATTAATTTTTATATCAATGCCTAAAATATCAAGAAAGCTCTAGTTAGATTAAGTACATAATAAGKTAATAAATTATGTAAGATGTAAGGAGTTATTGACAAGTCTCACTAGTGTGTCTGAGCAAATTTATTGTTAAGGATGAGATGCAATGCCTTTAGTGAATTTTTTTAGACACAAAGCTCCTTATAGACAATTTTTGACACTACAAGAAGTGAATTTATAGACAGAATAGAGGGAAAATCATGCCAAATATTTTGGACACCCTACTGTGAACTTTAATATTGAACCAGTTTTCATAATCAATATTTATGTTTAGATGAAATAGGAAAATATTTCATATGGATGTGAAGTTTACGATAACTTAATTTTTTACCAAGTGTTTGTTTTATATTTAATAAATGACTGTTTGTTTTTTGTCCCTTTAATAGTGGTATCCAGAAGTCAGTCATCACTGCCCAAACACACCAATTGTTTTAGTTGGAACTAAACTTGACCTTCGAGACGACAAGGAAACTATAGACAAACTAAAAGAGAAGAAACTGGATCCTATTACCTACGCCAAAGGATTGCAACAAGGAAAGGAAATCGGTGCTGTGAAGTATCTCGAATGCTCAGCATTGACTCAGAAAGGACTAAAAACAGTGTTTGATGAAGCAATTAGAGCAGTTCTGTGTCCTTCAAAACCTGTCAAGAAAAAGAAAACTTGCCAGCTTCTATGATTTTGGTATTTTCATCGGCAAAATGGTATTCTTGATTGCTTTGATAGTACAAACCTACTGTAATTTTCCTATATAAGCTGCGTCATTCATACAAGGTCTAAACTTTTCTAAATTGTCTTTTCTTTGATATCAAAATACAAGAAACAACCAAAAATAGTAGGAGCACAGGAAATACAAACTCACAATCAAAACRACCGCTTGCTTTCATACTTTTGGTGACTAAATTAGTCAGCCTTCCTTGTACATACATGTATATGCTTCATGTATGAATAATTTTAAAATTCCAAATTTATTTTCAAGTATGGTAGTGATTTCTGTTGGCAATGATGAGTATTGTCCAGACKATTGATTAGTACAAGATATCTTTCAGTCATAGAGATACATAGTTACATGCTGATGAGCATTTCATTCCCCACTAATTAATATTTTGTCTAAAGGGCACAACATTCATCTTCCTAAGTTAGATTATCAGAGCGTTCTTTAATTACTAGAAGTTAACAACTCAAACAGACAATTTCGTCAAATTTTATTTTAAAACAATTTGTCTAAACTTGTCCTAAAAGCAAAGGACAGAAATCTTTTACTCTAAGTTTAAATCTCCTTTACTGGAACCAGGGAATGACACTCACACATTGATAATTATAATACATCGCATGTGCTGTAATCCATTTGAATGGATAATGAGAATTTGGAAAAWTATTTGAGTGGATTAAACAGTGAAAGGAAAGAAATGTTGTGTTCATTGGAGACAATAATATTTTAAGGGGAGGAAAGTTCTCAACAAGAGCATTATCTGCACAAAAGAAAAAAWTGAAACATCAATAAATTTTTGTAAAAAAAAATAATATGTGTAAAAAATATTGCTTTAGATTCTAGTTGTCTCGCTGTATCATCTATATTTTCTAAGAATAAACCATTAGTGTTCTTCAAATTAGCTTGGTTATTTTTGCRCATTGTATCAAAACYTGTCAACTTAATTYTTCTCTTTGAAACAGTTTTTACAAATTCTCCATTCAAAAATGCTGCTTTTAATATTTTCATTATTAAACTGCATGTATACCCTCATCATATTTTTGAACAAATGGCCAACAGAATTTGACTGAACACAAGTTGTTTTTGTATAATATTTTGAATAGTTATAGGTTATTTCTCAAGAGGAAAAGTCTCCTTTGCCATTCCCCACACATCCTTGTAATGTAACAGTGCCTTTGCATTGAAGCAAGACAATCGGCGAGTAAGCAGTGATAGAAAACAATGAATACATTGTCTATTGGTGTGAGCAGATGTTTCTGCCATTGCACGCTCACTGGTTGTTTGTCTTCAATGCTAATGGTGCACTTACATTTCAAGATGGCACAGAGAAATTTGAAGTAGACTACATGCATCTATATTTTAGCCAARTCCCACCATTAACCAGTCAATAATATTCTGCTTGTTAATCGCATCACATTGGTCAAAAATTTAAATTTCATTGTAATGTTTTAATTATCTTCTTGACAGAAAATCCCATTCGGAGAGGGGAGAAATCTAATTTGCTAAAATCCCAGTTTTCATTTTACACCATGCATGAGGACCATCGAGTAGTGTTTTTAAAATAATGAAAGAACTAACGTAAAATAGAATGTAGCATGATCATTTTTTTAAATAAAAACCTCTGTTCTCTAAAAAAATGTAAATGACATTTTTGCATGTGAAAATGGAATTCACCAGAAAAAAAACCCGGCTTTAATATTAATAAAAACTTTTCCTGGTAAAAGTTCTTATTTTTCTTGGATATTTTAAAATTCATAAAATCTCATCACTCAAAAAATAAATATGTCTGTATACAAATGCAAAAAGCACATGTGTTTCCATGATAGCATTTTTATCTGAACTGGAAATGGATAAGATAAGTCATAWGTTAAGCATAAAGGTGAAAAGAGATTTTGTAATGTGAGCCAAGAAAGACATGTTGTCATTTTGTGTTCAACTTGAATCTCTTTCAAACATACTTTTTGAATTGTCACAATTATTTGTCAAATACACCTATTTTGTTGTGTGATTAAAGTGAGCTCTTTTATAGAAATTGTCTATTTCTTTTGTTGCTATGTGTCTGTGGGGTATATCTAGCTCCCTTTGTATGCAATACCATGACAGCTCATGTTAAGGAGGAATTATATTTCCTTTTTGGGGTCATTTTTCAAGCTCATCCTTGAGGTAAATCCAGATCGTTATAAGAGGGAGGGGTGGGGGTCAGGTCTCTATGTGAGATTTTTTTCAGATGAACTCTGCTTTAGACATTTAATTCAGAATGAGCCCCATTCATATTTGTTCTTGTTTTCTTTCAGATTTTATGAATCCTCAAAAAAAAAGTTGTGAGTCACCCTAAAACCACACAAAGGGTGGATCCAGCATTTTATAAGGGGGGGGGGGGGGGGGGTGCTTTTGTCAGTAATATATAGCTGAAAACTAAATCTGATAGCAGATGGAACTGATCTTTTTTGTTAGCTGTGTATTGTCTAGAGGGAGAAAATTATGCACAATTTGACCGGAAGCAAATTGACTTTTATTTTTCAACGTGTCTTTGACTACTTTAATACTACTTGACTACTTAAATAGATTGTTAAGCAGCATAGCGGCAGACACATGGTGATGCTGTTTGTCGTTTTCTCGATAAAAGTACAACAGGAGTATAAAAAGCAGAAAAAACGTTTATACTGATATATAAAAAAACGTCGTCCAGAAAGGGGGGTGCGTCCGCACCCAAATCACCTCCCCTGGATCCGCCACTGACCCCCTCCCCTGGATCCGTCTGGTTTTTAAGTACAATTAATAGACAGAAATTCCGGTTTTTATTATTTGTTGGGCGTCCTTGCAAATGGTTGATTAATTTCTAACGCATTTTTAAATGAACTCTACGAAACCGCATTGAAGTTTGATTAATTATTACATCAAGCACGAAACCACACTAAAACTGTTGAAAACAATTTCTCAGCAAAAACCGGGATTTTATACGAAATTTGAAAAAACTGCACAATGATTAATTACATGTAAAAGACACAAAAATACACAGAAATGCAAGGAAAGGACGAAAGAAATTCCCACAAAAGATACCTGGACGCCTATACAATTAATTTACTGGAAAAGATTTGTTAGCGTTAATTGTGACGTCAATAATACTCGAGTTTGCTAGGCTATCAAGAAAGCCGTATTGAATTTCCCCAGATTTGAAGAAAAAGAAATCACGAATAAAACCGCAAAAAATCGAAATAGCGTTGTGGTTTGACCATGTAAGCSGTAAGTGTCTTACGTCAACCATTGTTCGGCACTCGAGGTCGCGACTTTACATACGTAAATATAGGTCATGAAAATAAATCCAATCTCCTCGGTTTTATTTTGCGTGTCTTAGAGCGAAAATGAATAACTGCACTCAGCTGTTATCTATCTTTTCCTCGGGGAAGCTTTCAGGGCTTTTTGTTTCGCGTGGGTGTTCAATTATTTTCATAGAATTGTGGTTGTACACGGGGTTGTACATCCTCTTTGTACGCAAAATCATAACATTTGCTTTTACAATTCACACTTATAAAATGGTGTGAAAATGTTTCACAAGTGCGGGTAAAAATAGCTTATCCCTTAATTAATCACCATACAAAGTACAATACGTTCTCTTGCTTTTGGAACAATATCCGAACCTCTTCCTATTTCGCCATACATGCTTTAAAAAAATCAATTATACAATTCCAAATATGGAACATAACAATCTAAATGACAGACGTCACAGGATACTCGAAACAAAAGCTGGGAGCAGTCATATTGACGTCATAAGTTCTATATTTGTATTCATGTCCTGACGTCACAGTGAATAACAGTATTTCTGATTGGTTCTTTATTACAGGCTTTTGTCCTACTTCCGAAAACATCAGCYCTGATTGGTTGAAAACTACGTATCTATCAATAATTCAGACCAATCACAGATCAGCAGTGTAAACAAATCTAATCTCCAAAAACCCCCTTTCACAGCGAAAAGCGTTCTTTCCTGCGTTTGGACAGGCGAGGGGCAGTAGTTTACTTTGTTACTAGACTTTTACTTTAGAAATTTAGGCTAAAACACATAGACTGACGATATGGAGCTTGAAATACAAGTTTCTGTGAATTTTCTGATGAACTACCTCTACAATAAACTACCTAGGCGAAGAGTTGATCTCTTCGGCGAAGAACTTGCCAAGAAACTCACCCAGAAATTTGAAGGTCATTGGTATCCTGAAAAACCTCAAAAAGGAAGTGCCTACCGTTGTATTCTTATTTCTGAACAACTAGACCCTGTGCTTGTCGATGCTGCTAAAGAGAGTGGTCTAAAAGTCGAAGATGTTAAAGCGAATTTGCCAGAAAAGTTGTGTCTATGGATCGATCCTCACGAAGTCTCTTACAGAATCGGTAAGTGAAAACATTTTTTTTTGTCGCATTAGCGCTCATTGTTAGCGAAACTTCAATTGTACTGTTTTTGAATAAAACCTTAGAGTCCTCTTTTGTAACTGTACACGTTCATTCTGGAAATTCTGTTTGAACATTCGATGGAAAAACAGTCTCCGTACGTGATCATATCAAATGACTGTTGAATGATGGCGACTCGGGGGTAGWTGCTTGTTTATGTCTCTTTAAACTGGAACAATGGGATCCTGAAACCTTGGGGAAAGAAATCCTGACTGAACCCATAAAGGCAGCATATCAATTTTTTTCTCTCTCCCTGAAAAATGACCCGAATTTGAAGGACTTTTTTACCGTTTGTGGTCAAAAGAATGTTATGATCAGATGTTTGGTGGTTTGTGTATGAATTGCTAATGTTTGTTTTCTTTGCTCCTTTCCTTTTAGGCGARCAAGGCTCGGTTAGTTCAATTTATAAGAAAGAAACAACTTCATTTGCCGACGAAATATCTGACGCTGAGACAGCGAGATGGGTTGGTCTTTTGAACGGCCATAACGCCACAAGAACCAAGTCGTTCGAAAGAAGTGCCGAACGATCTTCGCCTTCGTTCTCGAATGGCTCTTCCTCTTCGTCTCCTTCACCTGTTATGGGCCAATCATTTGCTCCTTATTTTGCTTGGAGTACAGCCGAAGATGTAGCTAGAAAGCCCCGGTCAAAAGTGCCCAGAATTCCATCTCCCCTTTCGCCAAACGCGCAAGAATTCAGCCCCATCAAGCCCATTGGTCGTCCGTGGACCTTCCCGAGGACAGAGCGACATCAAGATGGCAGGCGAAATTCGCCTGTTCCTTCTAACCTAGACTGGCTAGCTTTTACAGATATGCCATACAGGGACAATTTTCACCATCAGATGCCAATAATGGCTTAGGTAAAATATCTTAAATTTACTGAAGAARAAATAAGAGTGCTGCATAGCCGATATTTATATACAAGTGAAAAATGATGGAGGGCTTTATTGTAAATTCATATAAAGTTCGTTTCTAAAAAATTGCGTTCTTTGTAAAAAAAAGTCGCCTCAGTCGAATTTATAGACATTGTCTAAAGATATACATTCACCGTAACTATATATTGCTAATATTATTTGACGAACGGTATTTCTGTAAAAAAAATTGTTATTAAGGTTTTTCCCTCTTTGTATGAAAGTAATTTTGTATATAAAATGCATTTGGTTTTGTTTTAATTCCAAAGAAAATTGTGAATAGAAGTTACATATTGCTTTAAAAAGCAGAAATATTACTATATAAACTTATTTTATTGAAATAAATGAAAAAAACTTGTTTTAAGGTTTATATTGAAAATGTATTGTTTCTAGAAGATACTAAATAAAAAAGGTTTGCAGGTTTGAATATATTTTCTGTGTACTGCTGTTATTCTAGATCCACATTGAATTTGATAAAGCGCTGATAGGCAAATATTTCATTTCCTGTCTTTCTTGACAGGAAGGAGGGTCTAATTATATGGTATATCAGTTGCTTGAAATTAGACTTGGGGGGGTTTCCCCAAATACTCATGCCTATTGTTATAAAGTGCCAAGTTTCATTTATTTGTGCTTGGTCATGAGTTTTTTTYGGTTTAACTACAATGAGATTAAAAACTGAAAATGACACTCATGATCTTTGATTTTGATAATTCATTGTTGTCATGGATGCAGACTAAGAGGCATGGCTTTCTCGGGCAGCTGATCCTACTACTCATGTACAATATATAGAGGGTTAAAAGCAATTGTTTTTTTTGTCATTGAAAAGTTGAAATGGGCAATGRATTGTTGGTAAATGAGTGGTTTTCCATTGACAGTGAAAAGTAGTAGAAGAGTACTTTTGTATGTGCTTGATTCGAACAAAGGAAAAAAACTGTACTGATATTATAGCACTTGCTATAAGTCTTATCACTATACCATGATGCTGGGCTTTTGTAAATTGCTGTATATACTCGTTATCCCTTACTTGATTGGTAAGGCGGACTGTTAATTATGTACAGAACAGGGTCGTGAAACGAAATCTTTTTCTATTGATGATCCCTGCTCTGCATGGGGCAAAAATATTTGTCCCTAATGATCCAAATTYCATTTCCAAATTTGATTCTTGATCCCCTAGAATTGAGCGATCTCTTGAAGCTGATCCCCTGGTCTTGATCTCAAAGATAAAATGATTATCCCTGATCCCAAAATAAGGCACTGCTCTACCTGATTCCATATTTTSTTATCATAATGATTTGAAAACACTGGCTCAGAAGTTTGGTAGAGTGTTAAAAATCAAAACAGTTCTGTTGATGCTAGTGAGCTTGGAAATTTGTAACTTTGAAACACAGTGAAAACATAATTAACGAATAAGAAATGAAAAGTTGCATTCATTCATTCCCTTGATCATACATTCATTCTATATTCCGAATTTCTCCCAAAAATCTCTCTCAAACTAATAACCAAYATAACTGTTTATATTTGAAGAATACACAAATGAAATTCAGTGTTAACTTTGGCATAATAGAGAATTAGGTAGATTATAAACCTGTTATCAGCTGTGCTGACATTGAGGACCCACTCCAATCCCAGCATCRCGCAAGATGAAATCATAAGGAGCAATTAGTGAATTCACAATCTATACTCAAGTGTTAAAAATTAAATATAATGAATTGCAAAAATCACAGTGACAAAACAAATCATGCATTACCCTCCCCTATTGAGTAAGATTTTGATTAGTTACCAGTCCATCGGGAGAGTCAAGATGAAGGCGCGCAGTAAAATGGTGGACGAAAAGACTGTGGTTTTTTGAATTGTTCGACTTTTAACGCTCACACCTTTTCTATAAAAGAAAAGAAATACCTTTTCATTCTATTGTTATCTCCAAGCTCATTGAGAGTATTTTTTTCCAACGAGAAAGAAGCTCTATTTGGTTGAGGACGTTTGATCTGTTGAACATGTCGAACAGAGATGTGCGGATTTTGCTCGTTGGAGATCGTTAGTATTCAGCCAAAGATTCAAATATATTCAATTTACAGTCAGCTTTATAATGCTTTCTCCCCCTGCTTAGCTCAAGTTGGAAAGACATCACTGATCCTGTCTTTGGTAAGCGAGGAGTTTCCAGACGAGGTAAGTTTTGAAGGTTTGACATGCATGCTGTGTGTCGTACTTCCATTTTTGTCTAGATAACACTGTTATTTAAAGGCGTGAATTAAATGGAGAATTGTATGTCACACCAAGGCTCCGTAGAAAAAATATATACTTTTGAATTATTCGTTATATTCTTAATATTTTTCTTGGTTTTAAAATAAATGTTCAGCTTTATAATTAAAAAGTAGAAATCTCATTTCTCAATCTTATTAATAATGGGAAATCGGTGATCGTGATTTTGTCTTGTATTTTTTCGTATTCGTTGTATTTATCATTTTTGTGTTTCATTTTTATTTTGGCAAATTATCATGTTTTATTATACAATTTGTCATTTTTCAGCAGTTGCTTGCATGTAAAATAGAATATGCAGGTAAAACTGGTCTTCAAAGTCAATGAGGACCAGCTCTGATGTTGTCTTATTTGTTGCACCAAAYCAATGAATAYTTTGAATTTGGAACATGACAGCTYRACAYATTATATGCCAGCAACTCCAACCCAGACCCCATATGTCAACATTTCCACATTGTTTCAATCATATATACATGTAAATGTTGTCATATCAAAAATATATCATGAATTTATGTATTATCTTAACAATAATTTTATCTTAACAATGAAATGTGAATGAGATTACCATTTGGTTTGGCATAAAAAWATCAAGACCTATGAACTAGACAATAAGTGTGTACTATAGTGCTTCCAAATCAGGGCTGGATTGTTCAAAGCTGTATTACATCTACATCTACATTTATTTTAATAAAAGTCAGTAAAGTCTTATGATATCACACCAACTTTAATCCTGGGTTAACTCTCAAAAAAACTATGGAGTTAACCCTGGATTAATGCTAGAACAACCTGGTTCAGTGTGATAATTACTGGACTATTCTGTTCAATAGGTGCCATCAAGAGCTGAAGAAATAACGATTCCTGCTGACGTCACCCCTGAAAAAATACCTACACACATTGTTGATTATTCAGGTATTTTGATTTCATGGACATTGAAAGGCTACCAACTTGTATAGTACCCAGTCATTTCTCTTACTCTTTTTACGGGTCGTGGTGCATCAAGGGAAGTTCGAACTACCAGGGAGAAACTTTTTCTTCCGACTTCCCTTGATTCTYTGTGAGTGCCAAAGAAAAAAGAAAAGTACTGTACAGTTGGGTATGAGTCTGGAAAAGGCTAACAAAGAAGTATCTTAGTAGATTACTCTGTTTGAAGTTAAGTTATTTATTCTTATCTTAACAGCTGAAGAACAAGCTGAAGATGCTCTTGCAGAGGAAATTCAAAAGGTATCATGACATTCTATGTCATTTATTAATAACAAAAAAAGTACATGTATCTGTTTTTCACACCCAAGACTCTTAAAACTACAATACATTGTCATTCACTATACCCTGGTTCCAGAGGCTTGACTTTTATTCTTTTGCTTACCATGCTATCGACTCGCAAAGTGGCGAGACTTTTCCATTAAACGTTTTTATTGTATGCCACGAGCCTCTGGTCTCAAGTGTAGGCAATCTAACTTTCTTGTCGTATTTTAGCTGTCCAATCACAGATCAGAGTAATATGATCTGTTATCTGTATTGAGCCAATATTGGTTCATTAATTTGACCTGTTTGACAGCTAAAAAAATGCAGCATGAATGTGAGCAAAAACRATTTTTCCCATTTTGGGAACTAGATATCCTTGTTTTGTCCTCCAGAGGTGCATTCGCATGAAGTTTTGCAAGGGGACTATGATAAATGTTTTTATGGTGCTATGACTTTCTATCTTTATTTTAAGGCAAATGTAGTCTGCATTGTGTATGACATCACCGATGAGGAAACAATAGAAAGGGTAAGAGGTGGACAAATATTTATAGCAATAAATACCCACATAAAAATATCTAATTAATGCTTGTACTCCACAAGTCATTAGTCCTAGTACTAGTAGACATTTTGAATAATTGATTATTTCTYAAATTTTATATCTAGATAACAAGTGTTTGGCTGCCTCTAATCAGAAATATCACAGARGATGAAGAACAAATCAAGCCTGTCATTATAGTTGGGAATAAGGTATACCTAGTAAATGCCATTTATTAATATTTGAGGAGGATGAATCTCATTTGTCTAATCGCAGATGAGCCACTAAGCTAGAAATAAAATACAGTAGTTATATTATTTAGTATTATT